TATATATATATATATATATATATATATATATATATATATATATATATGTGATTGGACACTTATTGATATGTTGATTCATATTGGCCCTTTAAAATATTACATTTAAAACAGTGTAACTGTTATTATTTACTAAATATTATTATTTAATATTTCTAAAATTACCCCTATTTATAGTATTTAATTAGTTTTCTAGGCAGTGTTTGGCATTTAAGACAAGTTGAATTTAAAGCCAGTATGTTGCTAGTTATCTGAACATACTCAGATAACTAGCAACATACTTGAATATAAGAGTTAATAAACATATGAGAATTTTAGAGTATTTCTTGTTTTCTTTTCTGTTGAAATTGTCCACATGCTTGTGGATTTCAGTGACTTCTCTGTGTATTCTGACATGGTAGTTGTTAGAGTGGTTCATCAGGTGCTCTGCTATGACTGAAAATGAACAAAATCTGCCTACCAGTATTTAAAAACTCTAAAATTATAACAATAAATAAAGAACAAAACTCAAACACAGGGGAACTCCAGACAAGAAACAATCAGGAACAGCTAATCACCTATCAACAAAGGATTCCCCCAGGCAGTAACAAGCTACACCTAAAAACCGCCAGGCCATCAAAGGCTAATCAAGGTGGCCAATTGAAACATTCACACCTAGCTCTAACAGACAAAAGTTCTTTCTCTCACCCTGGACTTTCCACAGATATATAAACCCAATTTTCCTAGTTTCCAAGAGATCTCACAACCTCTGAGGATGCTTGCCATAGATGCAGGTGAAATGTCAGTAGAGAATGCTTCTAGAACATGACCATACAGCCCAAAAAACCTACAACAACCCAGTGATTCCCAACTTGGTCCCTTCACAAACTATGCCCCTCTGGAGCAAGTACAATCAAAATTTCTAAGATCGGCGATGCAGGTCCCCAGATGTGTCTCAAACGCCACCCTGCGATTAGAGACAGGCCTTGTGAGAGTGGAGGCGAGAGTGTGGACAGCCACCCTCAATTATTGGCTGCATCTGTCTTTCTCAACATGTGGCCTTGCCCCATTAACTCTGAGAGATGAATTTCAGTCTACATGGAATAAGGCAGTGGCAATCAAAATCGCAACTCTAGGCTTCTCTCAAGGACAACTGCTAGGTATGGGATGGGACCAAGCCAAGGATCTTATTAGACAACGGATCCTGGATACAGAGTGACAATCAGACTTAGCCTGCTCTCCAGCATTCACCATTAGCGAAGATAGCAGATATCTCATCGCTCCCATGCCTTACTTAGCTAACCTGGAGGTGCCTAAACACCAAAGAGCTGTCACTTTGGTCACTTTGGCCCTTCCATCGGCAGTACTGGAGGGGAGGTACCGGAAGACCCCTGCCCAGGAGAGACTATGCCTGTGTGAGTCTGGCTACATCGAAACAACTGAACATGTGCTCC